GGTTACGTTTTACTTACTACTACTACGTCTACTATTTACTACTACCGTACGTACGTACTATTAGGTAGGGTACGACGACCCTACCTAAACTATCTCTCTCTCTCTCTCTCTCTCTCTCTCTCTCTCTCTCTCTCTCTCTCACTTACTCATTTCAAAATACCGGTCTTTATAATACTTTTTTTCCTGCTAAGAATACCATTCTTTTATAATTTTTTCGGCTGGAAGCCGAGGTTTTTTGGTGGACAATATAAAAAAGTGCCCCTCCTGCCTCTTCTGCCATAAGTATCTAGAGATACATCTGTTATATTGAGAAACTAGACAGGCGCAGTGCTAATGTAAGCATCTCATAAGGTCTTTGATTAGAAAATCCTAGTCATATTGTTCTGCAGTGAGCCAGTGACTCCTTTGTTTTCTTAAAGAAGAAACTGACAGGGATCTAGCGGTTCCTAAGGGCTTACAGCTAATATTTACTCAGATGTGCATTTTAAGGTCATTTCTGTTCCAAGCCCGGATAAAGGAGAAGGGTTGTGTTTGGTAGGGCAGCCAGCGTAAAACTGTGCCACATATTTTCATGAATCCTGAACCATAGTCGATCCCAAATAGTTGGGGTAAGGCTTGGATGATGATGATAATGCATTTTAAGGAAAAGTTGCAATGACCTTTCGCTATTTCTTTTCTGAATTCTCTATGTAATGCCTTCGTCAGATGTGGCACAATCAAAAGAATTTCATCCTCTAGAAAGAGGCTCATAAATGCAACCAGAAAGCAATTCTGGTTTGTTCATGGAGGAGATTATTACAATTGACTTTTCTATGTCCATGATATGGAGTTTCACAAATGATATCAATATGTCTTTTTTTGCCATGATAGAGCTCTAACTAATCACCCAAGTTCAGTTCATAAATTTGGCCTCTTCATGATGGAATTTTGGGACAAATGAACAACAGGAAAAAGAAGTTCATGGGTGACTGAATAAGTGTAAACCATAGATAGAGTCATTATGATTGATGAATTTTTGTTGTTCAATTTGTTCCACTATTGGACTCTGTTTTAGTCTTGCGGAAATTCAAAATGAAAATGGGTAGAATTTCCGTTCTTATTTGATCTGAAGAATGAACCCTTCGAGGAGTAAGAATGACGAAATATAGATGCTCTTTTTTAAAAAAAAAAGAAAAATGAAAACTAGATTCTTCTGTGCTCTTTAAGTCATGCAAAAGATGAGTGATGGTACTTCCACAAGATGAGCGACGGTACTTCCACAACATGAGCAATGGCTATGGCAGTTTTCTGTTTAGTCATCATATTTGTCTGGCTGAAATTGCTTGTGAAGAAGATTATTCTACAGAGATTCTGATTCGGATTCCTCAAATGAAAGAATATTAGGATGCAACCCAAAAAAGTTCCTCATGCATCTAGGTCAGGGGCAATTTTATTGATCAGTGGTGATGGAAGGAGACTCCAGTAATGATTGGCTCATTAAGGAGACAATATCTTATGTGGGAAATGCCAGATATCTTTGATGGCATGTTAGAGACTAAAGGCTCAATAGAAGAACTTAAGATATTGTGAGCACCAAAAGTTGAATTGTGGTTGATTAGCTTGCACCTTTGGATGCTACAAAACACACATTTGTATTTTAATAATGCCGGTTATCCATAAAAGAAAGGTGAACATGACTGAACACTAGAAGAAGCATGAAATGGGAGCAACGAATCATGTGAATCTTCTACCCATGGCCTAGCATCCCATAGAAATACAGGGATAAAATTCTTTTTCTTGGAAGGTAGTATATTGAATTTAGAAACTGTTTACAAGAAGTTACTCCAATAGGAGTAGTCAGTCAAACTAAGACATTCACAGTAAATTGAGACACAGAGACCGCAAGAGAAATGTGTAGAGAGAGAGGAGGGGGGAGGGGAATATCAGTCAGGGGGGCTAAGTCCAACATTATGGGCAGTTCTTCGATTCCTGTCCCGAGTCCATGCATCTGGAAGTTCGTTGGCCTTCCTTGGGATATGGTGAAAGCTAACCAACTATCTTCAACATAGATCGATATTCTCTCAATAACATCTGCCAGCATCCACGGATACATGCTCTGTTTTCTTGCCCATCTTATCGCATTCATAGAATTGGTGGTTAGGTCACAGATTTGAGAAATGTATCTCTGTTGAGTATAACGATGAGTGATCTACAAGAAAGTTGTAAAATGGATGGAAAAAGATGGAGGAAATAGAAGCTAGAAGATATGCTATCCTCAGTGTAGGGGATTCTCTCGATATAGGGAGTATTTTGTTCAGGTTCTTGTGGAGGAAGCATTATCCAATCTATGCATCAACACGATGCTTCATCCAACCTCTTGTTTTTGTGCTAGATGTAAAGGATATTTACTAATGGAAGAAACGTGAATATAAATATCTTTTGTTTATAATGGAAAGAAAGCTTAACCTATATATAAAGGGCACCTAGGTTCTTCATGTATTTTTAAGTAGCTTGAGAACCATTGTCCCTCCTTTCTATTCTTTTATGTATCAGACTCTATTTGATGAATGTGTTATTTAATATCGGTCGGTCTATATTAATGCAGCCAGACTTCTGGATGGAACCTATCAGATCAATTGCCAAGGCATATCAACAAACAGACAAACTCATTTTGGAAAATTCGACACACTTAGGACCTGGTGGCTCAACAGCTGTTACTGCCATTGTAATTGATGGTAGGCAATTATTGGTGGCCAATATAGGAGATTCTAGGGCTGTTCTATGCCGGAAGGGCGAGGCAATTCAGCTCTCCGTGGACCATGAACCTCATAGTGAGAGAAAGAGGATTGAGAAGCAGGGTGGTTTCGTTACACTTCTTCCAGGTACATGCTCTTGTCACAAACTTAATTTTGTGGTTAACTTACTGTTTCAACTGAGAGTTGTATACTTGCCTTCTCCTTGTAACTTAATTGAAGATTAAGGTATGTGCGGTTTCCATTAACCTACTGATCTTTGTTCCCCTCTCACTGTTGCTAACAGCTTTATACTACAACTTTGATCTTAAATTGAATTTAGCTGAAGCATAAAGATGAAATCTACATATTATCTGTTAAACATTGAATTCTGAATGAAATCAGCTAACCTTAAAAAAACAGGACCTTTTTCTTTTTGAAATTAATATTTGAAATCGTTAGTCATGTTAATTTTTCCAATTTCCAAATTCGAAAGATTAATTTAGATTTCTCCAAAAGCCAACCGAAATTCAAAGTTTTCAACCTACGCTGGAATTGTAAATACCAACAATTATTTCCTAAATTTCAGGAGATGTGCCTCGGGTTAATGGCCAGCTTGCAGTGGCACGTGCCTTTGGTGATCAAAGCCTCAAGGCCCATTTAAGTTCTGACCCGGAAGTACGAGAAGTTCGAATAGACTCTAGTGTGGAGTTTGTCATTCTAGCAAGTGATGGCTTGTGGAAGGTCAGTCATTCTCAATGATACCTAGTTATAAAATTAAGTCATCTGTGTGTGTATGTATGGGGTGTGTGTGTGTGTTTTCTGAACCTCTTGTGTGATATTTATTTTCTACAATTTGTTTGTTATTTGGATAAGGATCTCGTATTAGAAACTTCTCTTTTATTCAGGTTATGAAAAATGAAGAAGCCGTTAGTTTGGTAAGATCCATCAAAGACCCCCAAACTGCTGCAAAACGCTTGACCACAGAGGCACTTGCCAGGAAGAGCAAAGATGATATCTCATGTATTGTCATTCGTTTCAGAGGCTGATTTCTCGCTCATTATGTAGTTAAGAGGCTTTTTCCTTGGTTGATATAGAGAGAGAGAGAGAGAGAGAGAGAGAGAGAGCATATATATGTATACATATAAGTGGTGTCATTCTTGTATGATTGTTTGTTCGAATATCTGTTCATCATGGGTGTGCCAGTTTTGTGAGGAATCGATGATTTGGCAACAATTATGAGGCGATTTGTTCGTCCTCTACGATTATTTGGCAAATCAGTCGCTCTCACATCTTGTACTGAAACTCCATGCGAAACATTTGAATTTCTTTGTACAGATTATAAATGTACCTTTGTAGGTATACCTTGTATATGCTTGGTATCAGAGTGATGTATCCAGAGATCGGATGAATACTACGCTATATCTGAGAGGTTTCGCAGATCTAAATCAAGAGTCACTTGAATACTTGTGGTGGTGAAGAATGTGTTATGGATATGTGATTGTTTTAAGTGTAGAGGTAGCATCGAGCAAGTCTGGGCTGGCCATATTAGAGTCATTTGTGAGGTCTGAGTGCTGCTCTTGAGAGCTCCAGGCGATTCACAAACACTGCTCCATTGAAACTTTAATTATTAGGAAAAGAGCTGGGGCTTAATTGATTTTTCGACTCACCCAAAAAAAAGAAACTTTAAATGTAGTTGACCTCCCAAATTTGGGTGGTGGTTCTGGACTTGATACTAGTCTAGTAGACCCTATTTGATTGACATCATATCTCATGAAATTGGGGTTGGATATGACTTGGGTCAAACGGAAACTCGGATCTCCGAACTAATCAGAGTTTACAATTTGTTCAAAAGTTAATCTCGACCTAGACTTAGGCAAGTAAATAGTTGTCAAACCAAGAAGTAGCTGTAATTTGGAAAGTGGATTCATGCCCGAACCCAAGTTAGGTTGACCCGAACCGATGCTTCCAATACTGTGCCATACCTGGGGCTAGGTCGACCCAACCCAATTGATGCTTGTGTGTACGTGTGTGAGATGTGGTGAAGTGAGTCATGCATCACTATATTACGTAGCCTGTGCTGGAGAGGTGTGGTGAAAGGGAGCAATGCGTTATCGACTTGGATCGGCCAAATCCACGACCAAGATTGGCAGATTCCTGATCTGAGTAAGATTTTTTTTAACGCATTTTTTATATATATTTTCCTTTATGAGCCTCTCTCACAGCAATGACAACCATTTATTGATGATATCAATAAATGAGCGAACTTTTGTGGCAACTTGCCTGATATTCGCCCACTTTTGGCAGAGACTTTATGATACACCATAGGATCCACCGTGTATCTCTGATAGCAGATGGTAGAGATTAACTTGAGCTATTTCCATCCGGAAGGACAGTTAATCTCCGCTTTTCTTCCTAATTGTGTTGTAGGACAACCTTTTACGAACGGTACGTCCCATCCAAGGATAGGATAAGGGCTGTCCCAATCGAAGGGTTGGCAAGTGGCCAGGCTTGAACGGGCTCAGCCCTGCCCGGGTCCCTATAGGCCCAGCCCTAACCTAATAGATTCAATGAAAGTGAAAAAAGAAAAAATAAGGGAAAATATAGGATAGGGCCAAACAGTCCTTGACCTGGGCCATAGTTTTAGGACGTTAGGATAGTGAAAGATTAGAACCCTATGCGAGTGAGTGACGTTCACTTGCAATAGAAAAGGATTTTGAAAATCACGGATCCGAACCGGCAATTGCCAATATGGATCTTATTCAGTAGGGACCGAAAAGGTTCCCCAAAAGAACAAGGATTTGGTCAGTAGGTATCGCCTGATGCTATAGGAGGGCTTAGCAATTTTGTTAGTTGAACTGTCTGGGTTAGACAATAGAGCTATGCCAACCAGCCCAACTTAAAGGGCAGTGATTTCATGTTTTAAATATCTTTATTTTTAGATTTTTTTTTCCGACCTAAAAAAATCGGCCAATCTAGATCTTGACCGAAATCTTCGATCAATCGATCAGTCCAATTCCCATCCAACACACGATTCGGGGTTTTAAAACACTGCAATAGAAGAACTGCTTGTGTGCGGCACATGATGTTTACTAGCACTATAAAAAAAAGATTCTCATTTTTACCTAGTCTTTTGGTAATTCACAGTGACGGCATATTTTGGCAGTTATTTCAGAATCGCCGATAGTTTACGGCAAATTCGCCGGCTAAAACATTGAAAAAGGAGGGGGAAAAACGAGCCCAAAAGCGCGTGATATGTGCTTAGTACGTATCGCAGACTTGTCGTTTATGGGCCCCACTTTTTGAGTTACTATTTACCTTTGGAAAATTTTTATATAGAGCTGAAGCTCTAAACAATCAAATTAGAGCTCACCTCATAAAATTTCATTAGAAAAGGTTGTTTTGATGCTCAAATATCTTCAAATTGATCATCTCGATATCAAGATGCATGGACATGAGAAAAACATAGATTTTAAGTTTTGCAAATAGTGCATCTTGTAATGTATTTTGAGACCGACAATTTTCAAGATTTTCAGTTTTTCTTAGATCTGCTCAATCTACACTATTTTTGAAATTTAAAATTTTATAATTAAAGGTGAAAACATATTTTAAGGCTATCAAAAAAATTTCTAGTATTGAAACCATATTTCTTGACACCATTTGAAGGTGCACTTTATTTTGATTGTTTACAGCCTCGGCTCCATACAAACTGCACCTTTACAATTTTAATAGTTACACCCCCATTTTTAAGGCTGGCAATGAGCCGGGTACTGGGACGTTCCCTTGGTCAGAAAAAAAAGCTAGAAATGGGCCAGGGGCCATGGTCCCCACCTTCTTTTCCCTATTTTTGATCTTACTGAAGTATGCCAGGGCCCTTGTTGTCACCAGCCATTTCATAGGCTTTGAACGGGCCAGGCTACTAGGCCCTGCGCCATAAAATGTGGCTTAATGGTAGGTAAAGCGCCGGGTCTTCTCTGCGACATGCAACAAGGCTATCCCCACCCAATTTCTATTTTTAATTATGTGTTTACTAAGGTCACCATATCAGGCCCTATTTTTTTTTTTCTCTATTGTTTCAATTTTTTAAGAGTGAGGTTTGTATAAGGTTGCAACCATAAGCATTCAGAGTAGTGAGACCTCAAAACTTTGTTATAAGATGCAATTTGGGAGTCTGAAATTCTTAGGATGGCCATAGAATCTATTTTAATATCTAATTACAAATTTTAAACTAAAAGAAAAAGGTACAAATCAAGCTTCTCTATAAATGCATACAAATCTTGAAAATGGACGGTAGAGATAATGTGATGTAATATGTATATTTTTTGGACTTGAAATTATTATTTTTCTATATCCGTGTGTCTCGATGTTCAGATGATCAATGAGATGGTTTTCTAACATCAAAATATTCATTTTCGACATATTTTTAAGGTGCACCTTGATTCTACAATTTAAGGTGTGAAACTTATATAAATATTTTTCTTAATTTTTAAGATAGCTATGTATGATGGAGCATTGATTATTATACAAACAATTAGTAGAGAGATGAGTGAGTTTTCAGTAACAATAGATCTACATCAGGGGTTAGTATGTGGTGTATGTTGTTCTCAAATGACATAGTTTTGATTGATGGGACTTGAAATGATGTCAACGTAGAGGTAAAACTTTAGAGGGATGCTTTAGAATCATAAAGTTTTAGAGTTAGTCAAACTAAGACAGAGTATATAGAATGTAAGTTTAGCAATAATAGGAGTAGAGGCGAGGAAGTAGTTAAGATTGACGGTTATAAAATACTAAAAAGCACGTACTTCTATCTTACGTCACTAGTTTAGGAAAATGGACAAATTGATGAGGATGTCATATATAGAATTAGAGCTGGATGGGCGAAGTAAAGATTCCAACTAAAATTTTATGTGATCGTTGGATACCAATAAAGCTAAAAGGCAACGACTGTAAGACATCTGTGAGACCAACTTTGTTTTATGAGGCGGAATATTGGGCGGTCAAAAAATAATATATCTATAGAATGAATGGAGCGGAGATGATGATGTTGGGATGGATGAGGGGCAAGACAAGAACAGATAGACTTCGAAAATATATTTATAATATTTTAGGTGAAGCACTAATAGACAATAAGATGAGAGATAGTAGACTTAGGCAAGTTAGTCATGTATGGCACAGACTTAGTTCAAGTGAAAGGTTGAAAAAAATTAAAGGATAAACTCAAAAAAACATGATTAAAAATAGTGAGAAAATATATGAAACATATGACCTCATTAATTGTATGCGTTTACTAGAAAATAATTATATATCTAAATTCATATAGTTAGTCTCAATTAATTAAAAAGAGATATTGACGATGACGATGAATAACTATAATACACTACGACCAAGACCTGTTAGGGCCCTTGCAAACGCAACCTTTTGCTCGGCCAGGCCGGGGGTACGAGGACTAGGACCTGCCGGGTCAGGTTCCCGACGCGTGTCCATCGTCAACGACCGGAAAAGTGCCCAAGTGAGTTCCTGTATCTCTGATTTCTTTGTGGCATGAAGGAAAATTATTGAACCCACGTTCAGAACTCCGCGTCCCAGATCTCAGGGTGGACCCCTTCAGCACATTGATTGGTGAGCGAATAAAAGGTACAGGCCCTTTACCTAGCTGGCCCCAGTGACTAAAGTACCCTTGCCCCTTAAAAACAGCAATTGGATGGGGGAAAACATACGAATTTACCCGGAGTCAAAAAAGTTCTCCAAAAATTTAAACTGCGGGAAAATTTTGAAGTTCTAGATAATATGTGAAATTCACAAAAAGGATGCAGTATGGTTAGAGCCGAGGCTCTAAACAATCAAAATAAACCGCACTTTCAAATAGTACTGACAATTGTGGTTTCAAAATTGAAAATCTTTCTGATAGCCTTAAAATGTATTTTTATATCGAATTATAAAAATTAAAGCTTAAAGAATAGTATAAATCAAGCAAATCTATGAAAACTTGACAATCTTGAAAATTGACGATAAAAAAATGCAATACAAGATGTACTATTTCCAAAACTTGAAATCCATTGTTTTTCTCATATCTATGTATCTTGAGATCCAAATGATCAATTTTAAGATATTTGGACATCAAAACAACCTCTTCTAGTGAAATTTTTGATGAGCCTCATACTTATATAAATGTTTTCCTTTGGAAAAAAGGGTGTGGTTTGTGTAAGGTTACCTTTTTATACTGTAGAAGTAGGGCGTATTTTTAAAATTTATTTAGATATGTCGTTCTTGTGTCGAAGATTTACGATGGATTGAAAATGTATTTTCATCCTTAGTAATAAAATTTAATATTTAGATAATAAACATTTAAAAATCTAACGGTCCAAATAACTTGTTACAACGATGTTGGAAAACCCTCTGATTGATCATCTCGACATCGAGATGTATGAATATGAAAAGAAAAAAATATTTTGAGTCCTAAAAATATTGAATATTGCAACATATTATCTAGACCATCCATTTTTAAGATTTTCAAGTGCTTATGGGTCTACTTGATTTGAACCATATTTAGAGTTCAAAGTTTTATAATTAGAGTAGAAAATAGATTCTTAAGCCACCCTATGAATTTTTTATGATAATATTTAGAGTTGCGTCTTAATTTGATTGTTTAATGTTGCAACCTTATACAAACCACACATTTTATCTTTTGTACATGGATGCTAAATCATTCTTTGTCCTTTAAATTCAAAATAGGTAGTTGTAAGAATTATCAATCAATAGACACAGTTTCCCCAAAAAAAAAAAAAATCGAATTTATCATTCACCCCAAGCCATCCAATTTGAATTCTAACGAGTGGGAATGAATCGTGGCCTTCATGTGCAAACTATAAAAGAAAATAGTTTGAAGGGTTGCAACTCTATCAAAATAAGTGAAGTCTTATCTCATAACCCATCGAAAATTGTAATTCATGCATAAGAAAACCTTTACATCGATGATCTTGGCTTCAAAATTATGGTTGTGAAAAATAAAAAAGGATTTCGAGCTCTAAAAATAATATATATTTTAACAAATTGTCTAGACGGTCAATTTCACCCTCAAAATAAGTGTTCAAAGATTCATAATATCTATACATTTTTTTTAGTTTCAAAATTTATTGTCACTATTGGAAAATGATTCTAAAGCCCACTTTTGTTTCCCAAAATGCTTTCTAAAGAAGGATTTAAAGTGAGGTTTTATTTGGCTTTCATGAATCCTAAGCCTTAGAAACTTCATCCCTAAATGGTCCCTTTTTACACGGTCCCAAAATAAAAATTCACGTCTTGTAAGAGGGGCACCACAGCTATTTATCAAGATGGCAACGCATTTATAAGTTGTGAAATTTGATGTCTGTTATGCAAGGAGGAGAGCAGTTCAGTAATGTTCCCCTGAAATAATAAATGAAAACATTTATTTGATATGACTTGGGTCAAGCCTGTCCCCTTGTCTCTTTTCTACGCGCTTCTCTCTCGTCCCCACTTGTTGAGCTGCCATCTCATGCCAGCTCCTCTCATCTCGTACACAGCCGTTGCACGTAGAGAATCTGAAAAATGACACACGCTCTCTCTCTCTCTCTCTCTCATCTCATCAAAGACTGTTTTCTCTCTCATCAATCATCACCTTAGTTCACCATGGAAGTGCAGCCACCGGAAAAACCAGAGAGTCATCTTCTCTTTCTCGAATATAATGCATATAAAACAATCACATAAAAATAACATAAACAACAAAACACCAACCCGCCTCTCTCTCTCTCTCTCTCTCTAACCCTTTCTCTCTCTGGAATGCGCTTATTGGATGACTCCTAAACAAATACATAGCCTTAGGAAAACCCAATAAAATCACAAGAATCAAACACCAGCAATCTTTTGAAGCTTTTGCTGCCTCATCTGGCTACATCCCTCCCCACCCTTCCACCATTATTTATATATCTTTCAAAATCTTCTCACTTCAAGAGTTAGAGAGAAAAACAGAGAACCCATCTCCATTTCTTAACAAAAGAATAGTGTTTGTGCAATAATCAAAAGCTAAGAATCATCAATAATAAGGATAAACAGGCGGAGGGGGTGATGAATAAGTGACACCCGAGACTGGTGGCAAAGGAACATTGTCGAATACCGGCGGTGGAGGCGGTGGTGACAATGCTGGTGGTGGTGGTGGAGGTGGCGACGGTGGTGGCGGCGAGGAGTACGTGTACACTTGCGTTGGTGGTGGTGGTGGTGACGGTGGTGGCGGAGAGGAGTATGTGTACACTGGCGTTGGTGGTGGTGGTGGCGGTGGAGAGGAGTATGTGTACACTGGCGTTGGTGGTGGTGGTGGCGGTGGAGAGGAGTATGTGTACACTGGCGTTGGTGGTGGTGGTGGAGAAGAGTATGTATACACAGGTGGCGCATGTTGTGGTGGTGGTGGTGGTGGTGAAGAGGGCGTATACACTGGTGTGGGTGACGGTGGTGGGGGTGGAGATGAGGGCGTGTATACTGGTGGTGGAGGTGATGGTTGTGTTTTGCATCCATCAACTGGCGGTGGTGGCGGTGGGGCGGCGTATGTACTCACTGGAGGTGGTGGGGTTGTGTAGGAGTGCGTTGGTGGTGGTGGGGCCGTGTATGAATGTACTGGAGGTGGTGGGGTTGTGTAGGAGTGCGTTGGTGGTGGTGGGGCGGTGTATGAATGGCCTGGAGGTGGTGGCGGGCCAGAGTATGAATGGACTGGAGGTGGTGGCGGGCTAGTGTATGAAGGGACTGGAGTTGGTGGCGGGCTAGAGTATGAATGGTCTGGAGGTGGTGGGCCAGTGTATATATGAACTGGAGGCGGCGGCGGATATTGTGCATAGACTGGGGGTGGCGGGGCTGTGTATGCCTGGACTGGTGGTGGTGGCGCTGCGTATGATTGGACTGGTGGTGGTGGGGCTGTGTATGACTGGACTGGTGGTGGCGGAGGTTGTGTATGGACTGGTGGAGGTGGAGTGTTATATGAATGGACTGGAGGTGATGGTGGAGGATGAACATACACAGGCGACGGAGGTGGTGGAGAAACATACACAGGCGGAGAAGGCGGTGGAGGAGACTGCCTTACCACTGGAGCGTACGATTTCTTAGGTGGAGGAGGAGAATTGCTCTGCTTTGGTGGATAACTCTTCGAAGGCGGAGGTGGAGCATAGATATTAGGTGGTGCATGCTCGCCATGTCTAGGCGGCGGAGAATAGCTCCACTTTGGTGGATAAGACTTGGGAGGCGGAGGAGGACCATATACAATCGGTGGCGTATGCTGACCCTGCGTGGGCGGAGGAGGAGGGCGAGCCCTAGTCGACGGCGATGTCTCAGATTCTGGTGGCGGCGGCGTCCTGAGTCTCTTTTTTGGCCGTGGGCTCCCGTTAACCCGAGGAGATGGTGGAGGCGAACTCCTCCTTTTCGCCGGAACAGGTGATGGCCTGTATCCGCCACCGTTGCTTCTACACCCGAATGTACTACAATCAACAGGCTTCGAAGCAAAGGCAGCGCACTGACCTGGGCTCCTCTGTCTCGGCCGACCGGCAATGCAATTCTTCCGGTCATTGAACAACCTCCCGGGAGCCCCAGCCGAACACACCGGCGGCTCTCCTGTGAAGAAGTTGCCGGAAATTGTGAAGTTCTGCAACCTGGGCAACTGGCAGATGCCCGCCGGAATGACCCCAGTCAGCCGGTTGTTCGCCACGTTCAGCTGCTCAACGCTTACCAATCCGGTGAAGCTCTGCGGCAGCGGCCCGGCAAGCCTGTTCGAGCTGACGTCAAAGACCGTTACGTTCTTTAGGAGACCGATCTCATCCGGCAAACAACCCGTTAAATTATCGTTCATCAGAATGATTTCGTTTAGGGTGTTCGCCATTTTCCCAATGGAAGCCGGAATGCAACCCCCCAGATCGTTATTTGCCAAAACAATAACGGAAACGGGCGAGTTCCCGAAATTTTCAGGGATCCCAAGTCTCAAACGGTTATCGTTAAGAAATATGGCATCCAAAGGCTTGTCAAATAACGCTGGAGGAACGGGGCCTTCGAAGTCATTGAACCTGAGATCCAAGTACTTGAGAGAGGGAGTTTCAAAACGACGGCAGGAAAATGCCCGACAAAACGGTTGTTACTGAGATCGAGCTCAAATAACAGCTTCATTCGCTTGAAAGTGGGGGGAACTACACCGCAAAAACGGTTGGAGTTGATGTGAAATAACGCGAGATCAGATAACAGGCCGAGCTCTGGAGGCAAATAGCCCGCGATGTCGGCATGGTTGAGGTCGATTCCGGCGACGACATTGAGCGAGGAGTCGGAGGGAGAAGGGGCACAGAAGACGCCATTGTAGTGGCAGACATCGGGGCCGATCCAGTTGCCGGTTTGGTTAAAGGGGTCGGAGAATATGGCGAATTTTTTCCAGGTCTGAAGGGCGTAGTATGCTCGCCGGAGAGAGGGGTTTTGAAACCGGAAAGTTGGGTTTATGGTGACTGTTTGGCCGGAGGAGGCCGGAGTTTGGGCTTGGGAGGAAAGAGAGAGGAGGAGGAGAGAGAGAGAGAAGAGGAGGAGAGAGAGAGGGGGAGGCATTGTCGGCATGTGAGGAGGTGGTAGGGTGGCAGGGTGTGGGTTTTATAACGCGTTCCGCACTGAAACTGTTTTTACTTTTTTACTGTCTTTCGACTCGACCCTTCAGACGTGTTTTTGTTTTGAAAAGCTGTGGCATTTTTCTCTTTTTTTTAATAATGGCAGGTTTTTTTTTTCTTTTTTAAAAAATTAATTTTGGAATTGATTCTCTCTCTCTCTCTCTCTCTCTTAGTTGTCTTTGCTAGGCTGCTGGGACCTTCCTTCAGTGAAGGGTAAAGAATTTGACAAGAAATACCACCACCATTTCTTCTAATGTCAAAAATACCTAATTTTGTTAATTACAAGAAAAAAGAAGATCATCAATAATTAATGTTTACCCCCTTTCTAACAATAGCATCTGAAATATGATTAAACATCCTAAAAGGAGATCTCAAATGTCCAAAACTTCAGCCTATATCGACAACAACATCCAAGGCGCCAATATACATGGCTGCTGAAATTTCAACTTAGTGCCCTTCAATTTAGCATACAATACTTAAAGAATTTTCGAAATACTATACTGTTACAATGTAACATTGGCACCTTACATAAACTTTGTTCTTATTAAAATTATATGTATCAAGCCGGGATTTGACCAACCGATTAGATTGATTAGACAGTTGACTGGATCATAGCGGTTGTAATACAAAATAAAAAATGAATTTGATCGAAAATTTGTTAAATATCTTACCCATTTTGATCAATTTGATTAATTAATTTGTTTAGTAAAGCCAAACAGATATAATTGAGAAAATATTTTTTAATATATTCTATATCTTTAGGGTAATACTTGTATATTTTTTATCAGCTCCGATTGATTTGACTAAACCAAACATCAAACCAATTCATCCTTATAACACTAGTTAAAACAACAGTTAAACATCACAATTAAGCATTTAATCTTTTTCCAAGAGAAAGTTTAACCTTTTAGTTGTCATCCAGCAAAAATAGTTTCAACTTTTAACCTTTTTGTTATTTTGGACTTTGAGTAAGTGTTTGAAATTGAATAGGACGTTTTATTGGAGAGAGAAAATTTGGACCCCAAAAGCTTAAGTACAACTGTCTGCCTTTCTCGAGGCAACACTATTTAGGCACTTATTCCATCCATTTTCAAATGGGAAGAGACAGTGGCAATTTCGTCATTTCTTCTAACTTTAATAAACCAACGTCAAAGCAATGTATCTCCTTTTTAACTTTTCAACAAGGCGGTGCCAAACGTATTTTTTTAATTTAAAATTTATATTTATTTTGTTTTTTTTTTTTAATTTTCATCAAATTTTACGTTAATTGTCTATCTAACACAATTCACCTCCATTACCCGGCTTGAGAGCCGGCTTGAGAGGGCTAAAGGAATAATAACACAATAAAATGTAATACAAAAATCATATTATGAACACTTCTTTTATTTTAGTACCTGAACTTATGAACTTAAGTTTAGGTTCAATACACAAAATTTATAAAATTATCCATAAAAATAAAATATTTTAACACTTTATCTCAGCGTTTTAAAAAACGCCGAGTCAAACCGGACTCGCCCGGTTCGACTCGGAAATAGTGAAAAAGGAACCGGATCGCCCAAAAATCGGAAATCGTCCGGTTCTAGAGAGAACCGGACGATTCTGTAAAGTGAATCGCCGATTCACTGTACGGAATCGGCGAGTCCGAACAGTGAATCGGCGATTCCGTACGGTTTTTTTTTTTTTTTTTTTT